ACTCGTACTCGTAGTCGTAGTCGTAGTCGTACTCGTACTCGTACTCGTACTCGTACTCGTACTACTACTGCTACTGCTACTACTACTACTACTACTACTACTACTACTAGTACTGCTACTACTGCTACTACCACGACGACTACCACTACTGACTACGACGACGACGACGACGACGACGACGACGACGACGACTGCTTTTACTACTGGTAACGACGACAACGACAGTACCAGCACTGCTGCAGGACTACGACCGTCACAACCACCACCACGACTACTGTTGCTGCTAGTACTCATGTACTGTCATGTTTCCTTTGCATTGCCTCCCGGTGGATCGCGGCGAACGCCTTTCCGGAGCCCTCGACAGAGACCCAAGCCGGGAAGGTCAAGACATGTCAAGACTATAAGTCTGTCCAACATGGGAACGGGCGTTCTGACCGATAGTTCCAGAACGTTTTGTCTAACATCCCATAGTTACGTACTTAACAGTTTGGAAGTACATCACGGCTGGTTGTTGAGGCTTCTACAATCCGACGACCGAATCATTTGCCAACTGAGTTTGCTGCATCCTAATTTTTTTTTGCAAGGGCTTCCACCAGGATTCGTATCTATCGAACTGAACACGATTGGGGCTTGGATTGGGGCTTAGACTCGTAGCACACCTTGCCTGAAGGCCAGTATTTTTGTTTCAACAGATGCGACCATCATCTCGCTTGTCCTCTGAGCTTGCATGTGTGAATCTTCTTCGGCGCTTCCGGACTGCCTCTGCTGCGTGAAGTCCTGGCTGCAGCTATAAGATCCTGAATCCTAACCTACGGCAACAGACGTGAAGACAGGGCAGAGCTCTGCTTTCCTGCATCCCTCATCCCATCGAAAGATGCTCCGTCGCCCCAGCCTCGGCTTAAAGCTATCATGCTCGCCGCTGGCTCTCATACCTCTCCGCCCTGTAGGCTTGAACCTTCAAGAAAAAGCGGCCGAAGCCCGAAGCCTGGGATGCCGATTGGCCCAACGGCCCCGGCCCTTGAGAAACCATGAAGCCTCAGCTGCGCCTGGATGTCGCAGAAACCGCCTCTGCGGAGAACTCCTTCTAAAGGCCCGGGATCACCGCCTGGGAAAAAGTGAGATCCCGAAGGCAAGAGCTTGCTCACTTTGGCCTCAAACTCTATGAAAGATTCTGAAGCTGAAGCTGTCGGTTGTTCGATTTCGAGTTTCAAGGCTTCGCAAGGCTTGAGATCAGAGGGTGAGACCTTCAGTCGTGCAATCGACTCCATGCTTCGGAAATCCGACTGCTCAGCACAAGGCCTGCTGCTCGAGACGCACCAACTGTAGTTGCTGTAAGCAAAACTACTACAGTAAGTTACTAAGTTACTACATGCCTGTCACTGCATGGCCTTATCATAAAGCTTGACCTTCGATCTTTGATCTGCGAACTCTGCTTTTGCCTGAAGTTGCTTCGCCCCACGGGATGACAACTCCATCCGAACGAAGAGCAGCGAAGGCGGAACTCGTGGCCTTGCAAGGATCGGCTTGGCAGCGTTCAGGAGGGGTGGAGGCGCGTTAGAGAAATAAATCAGATTTACGATTCAAGACCTTTAGTGGCGTTTGCGACAGCGCAGCCACGGTTGGAACAAACGCAGAAGGTCATGCAAACCTTTTGACATGATGAAAATTGATGAAACAAGGCTGCTGCTTCCAGCCTGGGATTCTTACGCAGGACGAAAACAGCAGCAGAAAGGAACCCAGGTTCCCTCAGATCTATCAGAGAAGGCCGCAGAAGGCCCCATATATGCCTATACACCAACCGGGTAAGGCACGTGAATCTGTAGCAGCCTCCCTGGCATGTATTTCTTTGAAGTGGCTTTCCTTAGAGCACCTTGTGTGCCCCATGTACGACCCAAGCCTACCTAGCAGGCCTGGATACAAAGGAAGCTTAGAGAGCCATTAAACAGTCTACAGCGAAATCAACTTTTCTCCTGCCTGGGCAGGGATACAGCTTTTGAAAAACAATTCAGAGCGTACGGGCTGTGAGTTATTATAGTACTCCCTAAACCATATAAACCCTAAACCCTAAACCCTAAACCCTACTGCGCCCTGACATATAACAGGAACCTCGATCTGGCAAACGTCGACAAGATCCTCGGCTGCAGCACCTGCGGGCTTTTTAAAAGACTCTCGCTCTCTCGCTCTGTCGCTCTCTCTCTCCCTCTCCCTCTCCCTCTCCCTCCCTCTCTCTCTCTCTCTCTCTCTGTGCCCATCTACCTCGCTATCTTGCCTTCTCAGAGGCTAAACGCTGCCGACTACTCTCTCTTTCTGCCCTCTCTCTCTCTCTCTCTCTCTCTCTCTCTCTGTTGACATGGCAAACTAATGTACAGACCAGCGCAACAACGCATGCGTGAAAACATCTCTGTGCGTGTGCGCTATTCGAGTCAAGTCTTGCCGGGGCGCTGGTGCAAATGATGACTACTGACCCTATCCGCAATCTCTTTGTAGTATCATTATATAGTCCCAAAGATCCGGCCCTTATGGCGTGGATCAATGAATCTTTTCCTTTAAAATGCCGACAGCAATGATCATACTCATGAGGGATGGGGACCTAAGTCTTCTCAGATACGAGTCAGCTGGCACCAAATCCTGTGCCTGTGCACATGCAACATCCGAAGCTAAGGGTTCAGGAGTTTAATGCCCCAAGACCCTAGTCCTTTTATATCCTAAACCCCAAACCCTAAGCCCTAAACTCTAAACCCCAAACCCAGCCAAAGCGCCAACATCGCCGCCGTGCTTGACATCGCCCCAAGCGACCACTTTTCCGCCCTCTTCGAGAACCGCGGCAAAGGCATACCTTCCCGCAAGTCTCAAATGTTGCGCTATAACATGATTTGTCACACGATGAGCCAATATTTCGGGAATGCGGAAATTTCGAAATATTACACTGATTCCATTGGACTTGGCTCGCTTGGAGCGAGCACTAGCTAGTCTGAACCCTGCAATCCATGTTCTCGTTCGTCGTCTGTTCCTATCTCAGCGACTGCTAACTGGGTGCTCTGGATGATCTGCTGCTAAAGATCATGGACCCGATGCTGTTTCAATAGCATGCCGGTGCAAGCCTCTTTGAATAGAAAATAGCCACGCCAGGACAGCGCGCCTGCCCCAAACATAGCTTCCTATTCTCAAGCTTCCGGGAGCCTTGTCAAAGTCTTCAGGATTTCTCCCCGACAGAGTTGACGACTCTGGGAGCATCACTGCGGTAGAATCAGAAGCAACGCACCTGCCTTGCTGATGCCAGGAGCCGCACTCCTCAGGGGCTGCAGGCGCGAAGTTCGGGATTTTGGAGGATAAGGCTTAAAATGGCTTAAAACTGCCAAATAGTAATGGGCGACCGAGGCTACACACAAGCAGGCTTTGCCAGCAGCTGAAGTCTGCAGGGATGGCAACTAAGACAAGCATTGTGGAATGTTTCTGCCTCTTCTTGGTGTGATGACTCGGGCTGTCGTTGCACCGCCTCTGCTACTGCAGCTGCTACAATGAAACCTGCCGGAGCGAGGCGATTGCTTGAGCTAAAGGCCGTTTATTGAAGAGTGCTCTGCTCGAACACACCAACTATCAACACTCCGCCACGTTCCTAAATAAATTGAGGTGATGTGGGACAACCCCCCAAAGCTCCAAATGCCCGGAAGGATCGACTCCCGATCAACTCGCACAGCTACTAGCCCCAAGTAGCCCTGCCGTAGGAAACACAGAGTGGCCACACGAACCTCAAGGTGGTAGAGTGCGCTTGCGCTCCCAGTCTTTTCGTGTTTTATAGTAACTTTAAACTAACATGACTATGAACTTTATGCCTACTAGCGTATGTCCCCAGTTGCTGTGCCTCCTTTCAAGTCTCCGTAACCCAGGACTCCAACTGCCTCGGGGGTGGTCTAAGCAGGCGCTGCCACGGTGGGACCACATGACGACCTCACGTGGCTTGCGGATCGTCGCTGGAAGTCTGCTGAAGGCAGGTCTGGAGGGAACGCGGCGCCGGAGAGAGGTCGTAGTTCGGAGCACACGAGCTGCACGACTAGATATCAGGAGTGGTCTTTAACTGTATTTTGCCTTTGCCGCAGCCACGTAGGAATGTCGGCACGTCCTTGCCGGCAGTTAGCGATGGGTTGACTGGACACGGATTTGTACCTATCTTGCTCAACGTGGTTGTCGCTGTTCTGTGGCCATTTCTAGAGCTGCGACATGCTGGGGTAACCAAGGTCTTGCAAAGCTAGCTTCAACACCGACTGGCCTGCCCCTAATGCCTAATGCCGTGTCTTAAACCCGCCATCTCTCCAAGATCCCTCTAGCACTGTGAACCAGACTCCTCGAGAAGTCCATACCCCAAAAAGCCAACCAGGAATTCGCACGAGATGTGTCAAAACCTGTCAGCGTATACATCCTCAAGAATCTGCTGAGCTTCTCAATGCACCCTGCTGTGGCCCACTCACCTCTGAACTCCAGCCCCCTCAACTCATGTGTTTGCACCGTGCGCATACCGAGGGCAGCGGCCCGACCGTCAGAACGCAGTGCCGCAAAGGTATCATACCTGCTGAGCTGCATAGAACATGAGCATTTAGTGCACCTTGAACGCATCGTTTGATTGGCTGAGATTTTAGAGCAACCGGGAAGACCAGAATCGGAATCAACTACGATGACCTGGTATCTTATTCGTGCAGTTGCTTGGGACCTCGAGATATAATTCTAATTCGCCTCGGCCCCGGCCGAAGCGGTCAGAGGTTCCACAACAATCCCTTTCCTGACCCCCCCCCTTCTTGCCTCTGGAAACAAGTGGTGAAGTTTCGTTCCCTGGCCTCCCTTCCCAACCCTTCCCCCCCCCCGTTATCTCCCCCCTCAAGCTCTGCTTCGTCGGCCCTCTTTATTTGCGGCCGTGCCAAGACGCGAAGCGTTTACAATCAACGAGAGATGACAGTGGCTTCCTTCAGGTGCACCTGTGGAAGCACTTCGAACTTACGTGGGGGGCTGTCTCAAATAAAACGCAGTTTGGCAAACAGCATCAGCATGGAAACAATCATTCACTGCTTCTCTCTGTTCGACACGCCATGTGCTAGCTGCTATATGGTGACTGTTGTCAGCAGCGCCGGATTAGTGCAGGTGACGCATACAACCCGTACGCTCATGTCTGAACATGGCCAGGGACGCTGCTCGGATGTCACGCACATCGTGTAGCTCAGCTTGCCTCGGATACAATGTCTCGCAACTTGATTCTCTCGTTCTGAGGCACGAGGTCGCTCAAATCATTGCAGCAGGTGCTCAGTCTTACATGCTTTACAAGTGGGGCGCATTTCGAATCCCAGTTGCTGCAGAAGGAGCAGCGACCCTCCCATATAACAAAACTCACAACATCCGCCGGGGTCCTACACCCCTAACGACAGGACAATCTCCTCCGTCTGCATTGGGCGAAGTTACGCCGTGCTGCTGTCGGCACCGTATCCTCAAACATGCAGGCACAGTAATTCGCTTGGCGCCGGTTGGAGGTGGTTGAGTTGTGTTGGCGTTGGCAGGTGGAGGTGATGTTGATGGTTGGGAAAAAGCTGCCGACACTCAGCACAGTGGGTTCTTCTAGTAGTGGTGGTGGTAGTAGTAGTAGTAGCAGCAGCAGCAGTAGCACACGTAGTAGTAGCTGTAGTAGTAGTAGTAGTAGTAGTAGTAGTAGTAGGCGCCCCCCTACCAACTACACTTGCTCAAAACCATCTTAAGAGCACATCCGTTTTACTCGGTATTTGCAGCACTTTCGTCATGTGC